TGAACTAAAAATTATAGGAGAAACAACAGAAAACAATACCTGATCCCTCTTGAAGGGAGATGAGGATTACAACCTGCAATACAGAACTGCTTAAAGATGGCCTCCGTGAATCCAGCATGTCCCTTTATAATACCCCGATGTTTTTTAAATATATATTTTTTAGTTGTAGATTGATACAGTAACTTTATTTTATTTGTTTCTATTTTTATGTGGTGCCATGTTGCAGTAATTCACTTGCAGGTCAGCAGGGGAAAAGAAAGAAGAAGCAGAGCAAGCAAAGCAGCAGCAGAAAAAAAAAGTCCTTTATTGTGTACAAGCAATATTTTTATAGTATTGTGAACAAAGAAGGCAGCCTTCCAACATCAATGAATCAGGTCTTTCAGCTAATTAAACATAGCAGGCAGAAGTTTTACTTTCTAATCAGAAGTGACCCGCTTCTCATGGCTAATCTATTCTCGGCCCGGAGTATGTTGAGCTCTGCTCTTTGTTAGGAACAGATAATAAAATTTTTCTCAGCGCCCTCTTAGCCCACTTGGCAGAACATCCCGTTTGCAGGCATGTCCGCTGTTACCTTATCTAAACCTTGAAGGAGCCTCTCCTTTGCGAGCAGGCCCTCCCAAGGACAGCAGCCACCTCGTTTTCAAGCATGTCCGCTGTTACCTATCTATACCTTGACAGAATATCCCGTTTGCAGGCAGACTCCATCAAGGATAGTAATAGTAGCGCAGTCACATCTGATTCTCTACAGTGCCAGGGATGGAACCCAGTGTCTCACACATGCTAGGCGACCAGTTCTACCACTGAGCAACAATTGTGGCCCCAATACCCTGATTTTACCAGGAAGAAAACCTGATGGATCTTACAGATTAGTCCAAAAATTTGAGGACAATAAATCAGATTATTCAAGACAGACATCCCATAGTCCCTAATTCCTACTGTGGCCTGGGCATGGCAAAGGAGGTAGAAGTTGACTTAGGACAGGGTCTTACACAGCGTCTCCCACAGACCATTCCAGGACAGGGACCTGGCTGAGCCTCTGACACAGGCATGTGGCTGCAGCCTCTCCTCACCAACGCAGCTGTGACCCTGGGCTGGCACCTTGGTGCTCATGCCAGGCAGTGCACCCACCAGAGGGCAAGAGGCAGTGCCCAGGAGGCTGCCTGCGAGGCCTGCCCCCTTCACAGGCCAGCTGCCGCCTGCACATCTGGCTTCAGGCTGCTTCCACCCATCCCTGGCTGCAGCAGGGCCCAGCAGTCTTCACTGTCCCCAAGCCTTGGGACACTGCAAGAATCGGGACTGGCACATTCCCTCCACACTTGACCCACCTCACACACAGCCCAGCCCTGTGTGGAGGCGGGTCTTGGTGGACAATGGCTCAGAAAACCCACTGGTCACCTAGTGCCTCTTGATTCCTGAAGCCCTCCACACAGCAGAGCCCTGAGCAGGCCCTGGGCCAGCCAAGGTGGTGGAACAGACCTGGCCCTGGGGAC